GGGGGGGGGGGGGGGGGGGGGGGGTGGCATTTAGCTGCCTGCCGGGTGAAACCACAACAAGCTGAAATCACCTGATGTCTGAATTATTTGGGATTTGTTCTCTGTACTGATCTTTCATTGCTTATCTCCAGTTGTCAGACCTTAGCTAACTTTGGCGTTAGGTCCTCTGTCAGAGATTTTTATTTGCTCTCCTGGTGCCCTGATTCTGCCTTAGAAATCCACAGGAGGAGAGGACTGAAAAGTAAAATATTGCATCTGTGAACAGGGAGTAGAAACCATGCTAAAAGCCTAAAATTTACCAGACTCATGGACTATAATGTGGTTTCTCCTCTGGAAGTACTTTTATATGTTTTTTCTTTACCAGTTGTTTGTGGTATCTTTGTTTTGTTTTTCACTAGAGTTTACTGTACATGACACTAAATCTAAGTGCCTCATAGAATAAAGTTCCTACTGAAGTTCTTTGGCCATGCTTCATAGTTTCTTTTCATATTCGTGGATATGAAGTAGCACTGCAAGAGAGGTATTACTGTAGAGTTTTACAAAACCACATCTGAAGAACTTGTGGTTCCTCTAAATTTGGTGAAATTTATTTTCTGTCATAGAATTGAAACGACTCTGAATTACCTGAGATTCCACGGTTGGAACCCTAAAAGTCTTTTAGCACCAAAGCAGGAAATGGTAGTGGCATTGCTTGTTTAAAATTAAAAAAACTACCACAATGAGTTCAAAACACTGTAATTCAACTAGAAGGCTGTTGAGTTGCGTAGAAACAAGCTTAAACTAGATGCTTTAAATGAACACAGAAAACTGTCACTGTTGGGAAGGGCTGGTTTTTGTTCACTTCTGTATTGACCTGTAATTATACCATGAAAGCCTTCCAGAGTTTCCTTCAAACCATTTATGACACTACAAAGAGCTTTAACACTGCTAGATAGCACAACAGTTGACACCTTGATAGTTCTGCTTGCAAACCAGAGGAAGCATTTGACTTCTTCCAGGGAGTCTTTACTTTGCATAAGCTTTTCCTGTAGCAGAAATCCTTGATTACAGTTACCTGCAAACTATACAAAATACATGTTACAAGCCACAGCTCCAACAGGAAGGCTAGGTATCACCCCCAGGATTAATCATACCATTTAACAACTTAGATATTTTTATACATATGTAAAAAATATAATACTATACATAGCAGCTCTTGGCATTTGACTCATTACTGCATGCTTTTATGTAGTCAGTAATACTCTTTAAATATTGCAGTGAAATTTTTTTTTGCAGGTTAGTCTTAATACTCCCTCAGGCTCTTTTGCTCTTCTGGGATGATCTGAATAACAGCAGTGTGTCCACAATCAAACTCCCTTCTTCGAACTGCAGTTCTGATACATCCATAATGCTTTTTCCAAAAATACCCACTTACAGTGGAGCTACTGCAACAATCTGCAACTGTTTAAAACACGTACGTGCATGTATAACAAAAACTTCATATAGTAAAGTAAGTGGAAATGCACACCAGTCAAACACTACCTTAGGCTTCATATGTGTGATCAAGTTACTGGTAACTCATCTGAACACAGTGGCTGATTTGAGTATGCTCTTAGCCTCCAACAAAACAAAGCGGAAAAGGTGTTTGAATGTATTATTAGGATCTAAGCCAATGGTTGGACTGGGGAACACAGCTGATACAAGTTCAAACTCTGCTGAACAGAAAGCTGTTACAGAGTCAAAGATTTAGGTTCTACAGCTGCTACTTCACACAGGATTCTTGCAGGCAGTGGGTGTAGGGGCAGCTCCACTGTGAGCTGAGAGATCTGGGATTTGCAGTTTGCAAAAAATGAATCTGCTGGATAAGAGTCTAAATGTTTCGTAGTGGAAGATGCTAAACTCTTCTAATAGTATCATGTTCTAACTCAAGTATACACAAAGACAATTTTAACAACAGTTTTATCTTGATGTAGCTGCCTACTGGCAGTATGAGGATAACAAGTCCAAACAAGGGGAAAACAAGCAAAGGCACTTAGAAATACCCATAGTTCCTTTAATCAAAAGGGAGACATCTTGTCGAAAAGATTTAGTCATGCAAGAAGCCTGTGTAAAAACAGGCCAAACGGACGGTAAAAATACCTAAAATCCCACTCTAAATCTGCCTCCATTTGTGCTTGTAGCAGCAATCTCTAAGAGTGTAGTCACACTTGAGTTTATCCTAAAGCCTACCTAGAAATAGGCCAGATAGGAAATTCAGATCCATCCACAGTACAAATCTGCAAAGCTCTTATACAGAAGGATGTTTTTTGTCATTGGCTTTGGTTTAGAAACTGTTGTTTCTTATGCAATCAATCAGTGAACAGTAAGTGCCATATACTGAAAAGGTTGGGAATATCAGCATTTGTTAAGATACCTTGGCACTCTCTTCTCAGTACCTTGGTGCTCTCCTCACAGTTCTAAGATCATCAAAGAGAGCTGATGCAAGAATAGAGCAAAGCTGCAAAATTATCTACATCCAAACCTCTCAAGGGTTTAGATGCGGGTGCCTGAATGAAAATGCATTTTGAGTAACAGTAGTCTTACAGCAAAGGAAACAGTATGTCCCTTTAAGGGGACTTCTAATACAGTCTTGAAAAATATCAATTTAGTAAACACAGTAGCTTCTCACCATATTTCAGGATGATACCTTTGTATATGGCAGTGCAGTTAATGAAACACAGTCAGTAAAGCACCCACCACAGGAATACAGAGAATGCATGACAAACTTAAAAAGTAATAGGAGACGCTTTAACACATCACCCTTCAACTTTCCCGGCTGAGTTTCGACCTACGGCAGCCGGCCCTCGCAGTCTCCCGAGCAGGGAGTTGCCAC